GAGGTGACAGCGGTCTTATGCGAGAAGAGGCTAACGTAGTTATATCCCGGCGTGTTAGCTTGATGTGATGCAAGCCTAAGTAAGAAATCTCAGGTGAAACTCACGGACGTGGGCAAGGTGCTGACAAGCTGACAAACTAGTGATAGGAGGGTCACTGGGTTGGTTATGTGAAAGGTTGGGTTTTTTTCCACCTCAGTTTCATCTTCAAGATATGTATAATATGAAGAGGTCGCCTTCCTTACACCATTATCCCCAAACGGGTCATTCTTATTAATTCGATTGGTAAAGAAATAAAGATGTCAAAATCGTCACGGTCTCAACTCTACGGCAGTCAGTGACATTGACAGCATAAGAACACCATATTCCTCAGACCAAGCACAAAGAAATGCCTACGGAATCGCACTTGAATCCGCCAAGTAAGTAACTTCCCCGAAACAAATATTGAGCTTGGTTTTGAACTTTCGTATCGTAAGGCGTAATTTTAAAGCTTTCATTTCCTCTTTAATAAAATTATTAGGGTCGAAAAGAATTACTTTAGTAAAATGAACTACCTATGCTTCCAGGACAAGAAGGAACTACATGGGACCTTAGTTTCCAGGGCAAGAAGGAACTACCTATGCTTCCGGGGCAAGAAGGAACTATATGGGACCTAAGCTTCCAGGACAAGAAGGAACTGCCTATGCTTCCAGGACAAGAAGGAACTACATGGGACCTAAGCTTCCAGGACAAGAAGGAACTACCAATGCTTCCAGGACAAAAAGGAACTACATCGGACCTAAGCGTTCAGGACAAGAAGGAACTACCTATGCTTCCAGGACAAGAAGGAACAACATGGGACCTAACCTTCCAGGACAAGAAGGAACTACATGGGACCTAAGCTTCCAGGACAAGAAGGAACTGCCTATGCTTCCAGGACAAGAAGGAACTACATGGGACCTTAGTTTCCAGGACAAGAAGGAACTACCTATGCTTCCAGGGCAAGAAGGAACTACATGGGACCTAAGTTTCCAGGACAAGAAGGAGCTACCTATGCTTCCAGGGCAAGAAGGAACTACATGGGACCTAAGTTTCTAGGACAAGAAGGAACTACCTATGCTTCCAGGGCAAGAAGGAACTACCTATGCTTCCAGGACAAGAAGGAAAAACATGGGACCTAACCTTCCAGGACAAGAAGGAACTACATGGGACCTAAGCTTCCAGGACAAGAAGAAGTGCCTATGCTTCCAGGACAAGAAGGATCTACATGGGACCTAAGCTTCCAGGACAAGAAGGAACTACCTATGCTTCCAAGGCAAGAAGGAACTACCTATGCTTCCAGGACAAGAAGGAACAACATGGGACCTAACCTTCCAGGACAAGAAGGAACTACCTATGCTTCCAGGGCAAGAAGGAACTACATGGGACCTAAGTTTCCAGGACAAGAAGGAACTACCTATGCTTCCAGGACAAGAAGGAACAACATGGGACCTAACCTTCCAGGACAAGAAGGATCTACCTATGCTTCCAGGGCAAGAAGGAACTACATGGGACCTAAGTTTCCAGGATAAGAAGGAACTACCTATGCTTCCAGGACAAGAAGGAACTACCAGTGCTTCCAGGACAAGAAGGAACTACATGGGACCTAAGTTTCCAGGACAAGAAGGAACTATCAATGTTTCCAGGACAAGAAGGGACTACCTATGCTTCCAGGACAAGAAGGATCTACCAATGTTTCCAGGACAAGAAGGAACTACCTATGCTTCCAGGACAAGAAGGAACTACATGGGACCTAAGCTTCCAGGACAAGAAGGAACTACATTGGGCCTAAGCTTCCAGGACAAGAAGGAACTGCCTATGCTTCCAGGACAAGAAGGAACTACATAGGACCTAAGCTTCCAAGACAAGAAGGATCTACCTATGCTTCCAGGACAAGAAGGAACAACATGGGACCTAACCTTCCAGGACAAGAAGGGACTACATTGGGCCTAAGCTTCCAGGACAAGAAGGAACTGCCTATGCTTCCAGGACAAGAAGGAACTACATGGGACCTAAGCGTCCAGGACAAGAAGGAACTACCAATGCTTCCAGGACAAGAAGGAACTACATCGGACCTAAGCGTTCAGGACAAGAAGGAACTACCTATGCTTCCAGGACAAGAAGGAACAACATGGGACCTAACCTTCCAGGACAAGAAGGAACTACATGGGACCTAAGCTTCCAGGACAAGAAGGAACTGCCTATGCTTCCAGGACAAGAAGGAACTACATGGGGCCTAAGCTTCCAGGACAAGAAGGACTACATGGGACGTAAGCTTCCAGGACAAGAAGGAACTACCTATGCTTCCAGGACAAGAAGAAACTACATGGGACCTAAGTTTCCAGGACAAGAAGCAACTACTTATGCTTCCAAGGCAAGAAGGAACTACCTATGCTTCCAGGACAAGAAGGAACAACATGGGACCTAACCTTCCAGGACAAGAAGGAACTACATTGGGCCTAAGCTTCCAGGACAAGAAGGAACTACCTATGCTTCCAGGACAAGAAGGAACTACATGGGACCTAAGCGTCCAGGACAAGAAGGAACTACCTATGCTTCCAGGACAAGAAGGAAAAATATGGGACCTAACCTTCCAGGACAAGAAGGAACTACATGGGACCTAAGCTTCCAGGACAAGAAGAAGTGCCTATGCTTCCAGGACAAGAAGGATCTACATGGGACCTAAGCTTCCAGGACAAGAAGGAACTACCTATGCTTCCAAGGCAAGAAGGAACTACCTATGCTTCCAGGACAAGAAGGAACAACATGGGACCTAACCTTCCAGGACAAGAAGGATCTACCTATGCTTCCAGGGCAAGAAGGAACTACATGGGACCTAAGTTTCCAGGATAAGAAGGAACTACCTATGCTTCCAGGACAAGAAGGAACTACCAGTGCTTCCAGGACAAGAAGGATCTACATGGGACCTAAGTTTCCAGGACAAGAAGGAACTACCAATGTTTCCAGGACAAGAAGGAACTACCTATGCTTCCAGGACAAGAAGGATCTACCAATGTTTCCAGGACAAGAAGAAATACCTATGCTTCCAGGACAAGAAGGAACTACATGGGACTTAAGCTTCCAGGACAAGAAGGAACTACCAATGCTTCCAGGACAAGAAGGAACTACATGGGACCTTAGCTTCCAAGACAAGAAGGAACTACCTATGCTTCCAGGACAAGAAGGAACAACATGGGACCTAACCTTCCAGGACAAGAAGGAACTACATTGGGCCTAAGCTTCCAGGACAAGAAGGAACTACCTATGCTTCCAGGACAAGAAGGAACTACATGGGACCTAAGCGTCCAGGACATGAAGGAACTACCTATGCTTCCAGGACAAGAAGGAACTACATGGGGCCTAAGCTTCCAGGACAAGAAGGACTACATGGGACGTAAGCTTCCAGGACAAGAAGGAACTACCTATGCTTCCAGGACAAGAAGAAACTACATGGGACCTAAGTTTCCAGGACAAGAAGGAACTACCTTAGCTTCCAGGTCAAGAAGGAACTACCTATGCTTTCAGGACAAGAAGGAACTACCTATGCTTCCAGGAAAAGGATGCTCTTTTGAACAATATTTCAGTCATATGTCAGCCTGCCCCATAAAACCCAATATTGATGCAGGTCGTGTCATTTATTACCACTTTGGCGCACCAAATGTGTGTGCGAGTAAGTACTGAACGTTGTTTTCAACAATGTTTCAGTTATATCATGGCATGTCAGCTTGTTGTGGGAGGAAAGCTCAAAGTGATTATAGATACCGGTCTTAGACCTTTACCACTTTGTGTAACCAGTTCACTGGTATGATGAGATCAGTTTAAGTATCATAAAGTCATCTGGGATGTGATTCCAAACCCAGCGTATCAGGTCTACTTAGGGACGTAACTCTGTACTGCGTCAGAGACACATGGCCACCTGTACCCCATCATTACTACCCATGGACATGATTGCAGTATTTGCTGGCTCAACACTGGCTGTGAGATAGTTCATCTACACATCAGGATGGAACTAAAAGATTCATTATTATAAGATTCAATTTATTATTTTGTGCTGACAGCCAAAATAAGTTAAATTTGATTATGAGTGTGTGAGTTGGGTTTAACTTTCAGGCCACTTTGAAAAATTACTTCAGTTCTACCACTGCCTTTCAGTCTGATATGACAGGGCAGTCCTGAGTAATGCAGGTCTTAGACGTTTACCACCTTGGTGAAATCCATGAACACCAGTCAGTAATGAAAAAAACTAGAAACATTATCTGGGATTCCTACACATGATCATAGCAGTGAGCGGGTTGGGTTTAATGCCACTTTGAACAGTCATGACAGTATTTCAGTTTAACGCATTTCAGCTGATGTGGGAGTGATGCAGGTATTAGAGGTTTCCATAGATTGATCTAGGTTTCAAAACTAAGGGCTGTTGTCAGACATCTTTGGAAAATATGTTGCTCCGTTCAAAATTTGGATTGTTTTCAGTTCCTATTTTTGTAAATAAAAAAATAAGCATTTAAGCCTCTTCTTTATTGGTCGTGTTATCAGTGAAGTCACCTTTTCAAAACCATAATATATTATTCATACATACAATAACATGAATTGAGAAATTTTCAGTTACAATTTTGGAAGTTTTACTGCCATAAGCTGTAGACATGCGACTAACGGTATCAGGTGGTCAGGCTCGCTGACTTGGTTGATGCATGTCATCGATCCCAACTGCGTGAATCGATGCTCATGACATTGATCACTGGATTGTCTGGTCCAGACTCAATTATTTACAGACCGCCGTCATATAGCTGAAATATTGCTGAGGGCGGCGTTAAACAACAAACCAACCAACCAAACCAATCCAGTGCGTCAAATCTCCAAAAGGTAAACCTATTGACAATCCAACTGTTGCCACAGTCTGGGAATCACACCCTGTTCCTACCTGTACAAATGTACTTGGAATCATTCTAACAGTATCATGTGTCAAACACAACAGCCACACAATGACAAGGCCATCCCATGTTTACTGTAACACAAGACAATTACATTGCTGCACAACAGTGATGAATCCCTGTAAAATCTGCAGCATTCCAGAGTCAAACGATGGACAATGCCAACAATGAGGGTGCCAACCCCCACCTCCCCTGAATCCTGAATACCATCTAAATATTCACTCGGAGTCTAAATGCTCACACCTGAATACTGAATACTACTAAACACAGATTTTAAGTTAAATCACTGAAAAAATAAAATATTATAAAAGACTTTTATGTACACCATTAATTTTTTTTAAACGTTGAATCTGCGTATCAAATATGGTTACATTACCATCCCGTGTATCACACTGGCGAGGCTCGAATACCCTCGAAATAAACTCTGAATCCTGTCTACCAAAAGGGGGTTGGCACCCTCAATAATGGACTTCATCATGATTGGTGCAAAGTTCTTGGAATCTCCATAACAGTTCATGTTGTGACTACATCCATTTCACACTTGTCACACATCTCACACATCTGTACAATATGCTTAGGTCACTCATATCCCTCTCTACACATCAGGACGCCTCTGTCTGAAGGTTCAATATTTTCTTCACGGAGTCCTTGTATTTAGTTAGAGATTCAGAGTTCTCTCCCTTGTTCATGATCTCTGCTACTGATCTGCTGTACTCCCTCACAAGGTCAAGGCTATCAATGTCTTCCTCCTTCAGATTGTTTGGCAGGTGTGACAGCTCCTTGAATGATGGGTCATCTTTCTTACTCTGAAAATACATTGCAACGCATCAAGGGTTTTAGCCTTGCTCAGTTCATCATTACCAAATATGAAATGTAACTATCTGATTGGCCTGATGCCAACAGGGGACCCACAATTAACTGTTTGCAATTTGTAAAATACACTGAGTTTCTTCTGTAAGGCCACGAGATAATTTAATTGTGGGACAAAAACATTACAACAAAAAACAAACTTGTACAGCCAATTACAGCAAATTATACAACTGTGGTATTTTTGTCCCAAACTTGTAATAATAATTTTGTTTCAGGTGTCAGTGGTATGCTGGACAGGGTTTCATGAGCTGGAGGGATTCAGGGTGCATAAGGCCATACAGCTTGTGAAATTCCGAATACACACAGTCGCATAACAACATTAGACTCCATGATAAGATACCTGACATACTATGTAGTGATATTTTGTTTTCAAACTTCGAGTGAGTGAGTGGGTATGGTTTTATGCTGCTTTTAGCAATATTCCAGCAATATCACGGCAGGGGACACCAGAAATGGGCTTCACACATTGTACCCATGTCGGGAATCGAACCCAGGTCTTTGGCGTGACAAGTGAACGCTTTAACCACTAGGCTACCCGACCGCCCCTTTCAAACTTTGAATTCATTTTGATCCAAATTATCTCCTCATTCAAAAGGTTGACACATATCTCCACTATTCATCACTAAGGAGGCAGTCAGCAATATTTCAGTTACATCACAGTCTGTAAAATAATCTTGAACACCAGTGGTTGATAGCATGCTCAACACTCACACCTGTTGTCAGGGTGCACGATCAGTCTGGGACACAATGCAGGCATGGGATGTTGGGGAACTTCTTCACCACAACTGTCACGGAGATAGTTCACAGGGGATTAATCTCACAAAAAGAGTTCCCAATACCTCTACGGCCTCAGTGACCTCCCTGGCACCCGCAAAGGCTCCTCGGGCCACAAAGTACACAATATCTTGAACTGGCAACAACATCTCAACTACAGCAGGAAGTGAAGGGAAGAATTGATATTCTCTACCTCTTTGATCTCCTGGAACTTCTTGATCAGGTCGACGACCGACGTGCGTGACTGACTGAGACGCCAAATGTAGCGGTGCCGGTCAGCCTCCACCATCTCCTCTTCCCACGGCTCCTTTTTCTGTGGGCCATATAAAAATGTTATTAATTCATAAATCGGGGGATCATAGCAACAGACAAAAAAACATAAAGCCCATTGGCGATAGCAAAAGTTGGAATACCTCACAAAACAATATGTCTTAGATACAATAAACAATATTTAGTGTTCTTGTGCATTATAAACCACAGTAGAAATCTCATTTATTACTTTATCCCAGTTGTTTGGAACTGCCAACATGTCTGACATGATTCTCCATCGGATGTAACTTTACAGCACTAAACATGCTAAAGCAATGAAGAGTTACTTCCCCTGGAACACTGGGTCCAACTGAATACAATGTTTCACATCCATCCAAGGTTCATAGCCACATTTTGACATCTACAGGGTTTTACATGACGCACAAATGAGCGTCTAGTACACACAAATGTAGAGAATGGACGCAGAAAAAGATATACTGCATCCCAAGGGACACAAAATAATATTCATTTTACCTACAGCGCATCAAGAGCTAGTATGGGCATCTGTCATTTCAACCATCAACCTTGACCACATGATCATAAATTCCTTAAAACATATAGTACACTACACCATATCAGTACTTTACAGGACCCTCATATTGCCTGCAAGGACCATTACAATTAATTACTAGGGATCCAGGGGACCCCCACTTTTGTAGGTAAAGCCCTGCAACTATGATTACTTATACAGAAATTACATCTGCATGAAATGGTTATGTGTAATTATGTCTTAACATAATAATCTCTTGAAAATCATATAAATGATAATGAATTTTGTTTTGATCTTCCTAAATGTGAACAAACAAAGCCATTTAGAAAGTGGTCAAATGTAATTAAGAATTGACCTTCACTTTGTGTGAGTTCATTGGAGTATGAACCTTCATAGAGTGAGGGCCAAACTGTATGAACGTCGGAGCTTGTCAAATACATCAACACAAACAACTATAGTAAAAACATCACTGACATACACTGAGTTATCGCTTCCTTCTTATAACAAAATAACACCTGCAAAAGTAGCTTTGATATTGGTTGACCTTAACAGGGTGTCCCATAGCTCGAAAGCTGTGTGTACCGACTTACTGGTTTGTAGTTTAATCCAGCACTTAGATATATTTCAGCTATATGATGGTGGTCTGTAGACAATCACGTCTGGGCCAGACAATGCAGTGATTGTTTGACTGTGTACCTACCCAGGACTCGAAGTAAATGGCTGTCAGCAGGTACATGGCATAGTCGTAGTTCTGCTGCCGCAACGGACACCTGCAACATTTAATAACAGATATTAGCTATTCAAATTGTGGTTGGGGTCAGGTTGAGTGGGGTGGACTGGATTGGGGTTTGGGTCAGGTTGAGTGGGGTGGACTGGATTGGGGTTTGGGTCAGGTTGAGTGGGGTGGACTGGATTGGGGTTTGGGTCAGGTTGAGTGGGGTGGACTGGATTGGGGTTTGGGTCAGGTTGAGTGAGGTGGACTGGATTGGGGTTTGGGTCAGGTTGAGTGGGGTGGACTGGGTTGGGGTTTGGGTCAGGTTGAGTGGGGTGGACTGGATTGGGGTTTGGGTCAGGTTGAGTGGGGTGGACTGGATTGGGGTTTGGGTCAGGTTGAGTGAGGTGGACTGGGTTGGGGTTTGGGTCAGGTTGAGTGGGGTGGACTGGGTTGGGGTTTGGGTCAGGTTGAGTGGAGTGGACTGGATTGGGGTTTTGGTCAGGTTGAGTGGGGTGGACTGGATTGGGGTTTGGGTCAGGTTGAGTGGGGTGGACTGGATTGGGGTTTGGGTCAGGTTGAGTGGGGTGGACTGGATTGGGGTTTGGGTCAGGTTGAGTGGGGTGGACTGGATTGGGGTTTGGGTCAGGTTGAGTGGGGTGGACTGGATTGGGGTTTGGGTCAGGTTGAGTGGGGTGGACTGGATTGGGGTTTGGGTCAGGTTGAGTGGGGTGGACTGGATTGGGGTTTGGGTCAGGTTGAGTGGGGTGGACTGGATTGGGGTTTGGGTCAGGTTGAGTGGGGTGGACTGGATTGGGGTTTGGGTCAGGTTGAGTGGGGTGGACTGGGTTGGGGTTTGGGTCAGGTTGAGTGGGGTGGACTGGATTGGGGTTTGGGTCAGGTTGAGTGGCGTGGGCTGGAATGGGGTTTGGGTCAGTTTGAGTGGGGTGGAGTGGATAATGGTAGAATTGTGGTGTTGCTTGTGTTGTTGGTGTTTTTTTGTGTTGAGTGTATGGGATGTGGTCAGTTTCCCTGCAGATCTGGGGCCATCTCACCTGTCAGTGGTGACAGTCAGTTTCTTGGTGTTGGGCTCAAACCTGTCTCCAACCAGTCTCAGCATCTTCTGCCATGCATGTCTGTTCAGCTTCAAGTGAGACAGCTTCAACTGAAAATTGCATTGATTGAGTTCACTATTGTCAGATCAATCCTAAAGTGAGTGACAGGATGTTTCTTTATGCCAGTTTTTGAAATATTTCCACAGCCCAGCAGCCAGTGGTTGATAGTGAGAGCATCAGTCAACTTTGTCAATGACACACATTTGATAGTTCACAGCTGAGAGTTGGTCATCCTTGTTAATCACCCGATTGTTATTGTTTGAAGTTGGTAAGTAGGCATCTTTCAAGGCTTGATCGTAGCGCCACCAGTGGCTATTACGACTAATGTCCCTCTATGTCCCTCCTATTGACCAATCAGATTCCACCTCTCATATCACTTGCATTTGCTTCAAATAAAATGGCATCTCTCAGTGAAGACGATCTGGTCGATAATCAAGATCGATACTGAACAAAACGGGTCTTACTTTGTGAAGTGCATCAAATCACGTGAGCACCTTGATTGAAAACATGAAAAGATTTGGAACATATCTGTTGATGCTAAGTTGACGGTACACATGCTTTGCAAATACTGCAATTGACCGACATCTGTACTCAGTTTACGAACTGGACGTCAATTTTTTTTTATGCAAGTTCGATTGGACTATGCATGGACTCTTTAGTCCAGCCAAAATATTACTCTGGACTTTAAAGTCAGTTAACTCCCTTGCCTTGGGAAGATGGTAAGTAAGATATTTTATGTATGACAGCTTCTATATTCTGTTAAGATGCTACATTTCAGTGTATACCGGTACTGTTCTGTATAAGGACCCTCGCTTGACAATAGTATAAGGATCTATCCCGAAACATTGCATCATAGCAGAAAAAAGTTGTTATCCATAAAATACCTTGTCTCCATGGTGATGACCAGAGATGAACTAAGGTCAGATTATGACAGACTACTTTCATGATTGTAATTCATTCATAAGTTTCTCGAGCTTGAGTCGAAATCGCCTGTCGGTGTCGAAACATTATGGTTTCAGGGTGTTTAATAAATGTTCTTTGATCTCATCTAGTTTGCATTATCATCATCGCCTTGATAATCCACAGATATGGTGGAATTCATTCAGGTATGAGTAGTAAGCAGTAAGCCGGATGACGTCACTCATGACTGTGACGTGTTACGTATTAATGCACCACTGCGATCATGAGAATAGACAAAACATGCATCAATTCGATGATAAAATGTTGCAATTTTACAGTAAGAAACTGCACATGAGGCTGTTGTATACCATTTATCATACAACTCATTTCTAACGTATCTAACTCTCGTTTTGCTCATTATACATTTTGAAACAACTTGTAAGACAAACGGTACATGACAGCCATTGTGTACTAATCTCTATATAACCAATATCATTGCAAGATTACCTACCACAATGCAAGCACAAGCAGAACTTTTATCAAGGGTGAGGCAAGGAATGTCCGTATAATGGGACTTAGTCAACATATACTTTTTTCTGTGCCACTGTCTGGGGAACTCAACTTACAGCTACAGAGACAGTGCGAGCCCGCGGATCTCGGATTGATGCACTGGAGAAACTGTAGTCAGATGTTGTTACTGTTATCGGGAAATGCTTATCAATTTCTTTGTTTGTATTCAGTCCTTCTGGCCACTTCGTGCAAAATTCTGAATAAGAAAAAAAGCAGACATGGTTCTTGAAAATGAGTGAGTGTGTGAAGTCATTGATGTTCACTATTGTATAACCCACTAACACGAGTATGGTACTGACAAACCAAGGATCATAATCAAACAAATATAGGACTTTGCATCCATAATCATTGGATCCTGGCACAACTAAGGGACACAACTCTGCAAGAAACTTGCATAATCTTAGAATATATGGCCATTATTGCCTCTTCATTGAATAGTGAAATCTGAAAAGCATGAAAAGTGATGTATTATTAATCGTTATCAGTCGTTTCAGTGACATCTGGACCTCAGTTGCATCCCAACTGCTGGTCTTGGGTTCAAACCTAAAATACCCTGATTATAATCCTTTAGCATTAGACCTATTATTGTGGGACACACCAAAATGGCATATATGTGGTCTTTTCTCCCGTATTAAGCTGGCAAGTAGTGATGCATTGGATGTACTGTTCAAACCCTTCAACTTTCTGTATTTCAAACATTTGGAGTATAATTACTTGCCATTTGACACAGAATGACAGTGGATGACAACACAAGACTTACTCTGGATGGCCTGGCAGTGTTTCTTGATGTGAGCTGGTGTGAGATGCAGGAAGTTGGGTGGTTTCATCAGCTCCACATTCCCGTACTTGCCTGGGGACACGCCCTTATTCTCGGTCTCTTTCTACAAACACAAACAAATGCTATCATTCTGTGATGTACTCAAGGCCCCACACTACCTGATCGTGGGGAGTTCAGGGTAGAGTACGGTCCCCAATACCCAGAGCCTGCCAGTCAAGCCAAACAATAAGCATTAAAGCTGAATCAACATTCAACTGATGCACTGTGATACTAATCTCAACAATGCACAAAATGGCAAAAATATAATAATATGTGTTTCTAGTTTTCTGACCAACCCTAGTCTGGAACCCCAACCCTAAACGGAAAGAATACTCCAACTTTGAAAGTATTGAAATAGGGATGCTCTTTTTCTTTGCAGATTCAAAACTTTGACTAATACTCTGTAAACTACCAACATTACCCAAGCTACACTACAGTCTGCAAGCCACCTACCTCTGCAAAGCCCTGTCTCAAGGGTAGGGGGACAACACTCCACTTGAAGGAGGCGGCTGTGGGCCACACACTGGTCCAATCCTGGTCCTGCTTCATCTGCAGGTACCGCGGAGGGGCCACCTGAAAAATGGATAAAGCTGCAATATTGCTGACTGCAGTGTTAAACAACATTCTGTTGCTAGGGACTACTACAATCTAAAAAATACATACCAGTCTCCTCCTTCTCCGGAAGAAATCTCGTTCCCTGCGTGTAGGTTTGAGGCCGGGTATTTCAAACGTTCTGAATTCACTGTCACCTGACAAAAATGAAGACAAATGTATTTAAAAAATCCATTAGAATTCATCATTAATATTTGTTGTTGCTATTATAGCATGTTACAGATATTATCATTGTCAAGTTGGCCCAGTGCCGGTAGATCTATCAGGCCAGTAGTTTCAACTTTGTATGGGTCCTAAAGGCCTGCAGTAAATTTACCTGTTGATTTATTTGGTGCCATTTGTCAGTTTTCTTAACAAATACTTTCAACCAGTCACATGACGTACTTCCACATCTGTACCTAGGACAAAGGTTGATATAATCATAAAGAAAGTCAAAACACAGGCTCCGTATTATGTCGCTTTGGGCATCAATGTGCTGTGCAGTGTTCATCACTGACTCTCATCCCTATGCTGTGTTGAACATGTTGAAAGCATTGAACCATCATAACGAAACACAACCACTCATGTGAGCTATTTTGCAAAGGAGTATGACCACTAACTGTGTGAAAAGAACATTTAACAAAAAAGTGGGGAGAGAAATTTTCATTCATGGTTGTTGTATGATGGTCAAATCATGTTCTGTAAAATATGCTGGGGAGTGTATGGATGTCAGTGAACAAGCTTCCCGATCAGCGACCATCGAAAGTTTATAAAAGAGGCCTTCTGTCATTACATTATCTCCACAATGTGTCATAAAACTGATATTAGGTAATAACAATGATGAATGGGGCTTTGAATTTCATTGTTATTCTTTAATTTTACTACATAAATGCTAGAATTTCACTACATTTAGCAAATTTGGGCCTACCTTTTGAATACAGTACCACAAACTTTTCAAACACGTGATCTTACCCTATGACGTAATTTGTAGTATTTTGTTGCCAGTCACACCGGGGAAACAATGCCCTGTGACATCAGGGGTCATAGAGTGTGCATAAGCTCCTCCTAGTGATCTATCATCTCTACACGCAATGTCATTGAATACGCCCTGCGGTGTTGAGAGTTTTGAGTATTTGTTTACTAATTTTAGCCTGCGGCAGCGCATTTTAGAGCAAGCGCTAGTTTACGAGAGCACTTTTATTTTTTATATATTTTTTATTTCGTTTTTCTCGTAATTGAAGTGGATAAAATGGTCATAAATGGGAACTAATATACATATATTATTTTTTCGGTTCATTAATTTTCATTATTATGCACCAGAATGCAGTTTATTAGGGATATTATATTGGCGCTGAACACATCAAAATGTCGCCAGTGTTAGGGTAGGTTACCCCGAACTCTCTATCCAGAGCCCTTGGATCCCCTTTACGATCAATCACCCCTTTACGATCATTAGGGTTAGGAACCCGTTTAATGGCTTTTAGATTACCTGAAGTCTATCCTTAACCCTTGGATCCCCTTTACGATCAATCACCCCTTTACGATCATTAAGGTTAGGAACCCGTTTAATGGCTATTAGATTACCCGAAGTCTATCCTTAACCCTTGGATCCCCTTTACGATCAATCACCCCATTACGATCATTAGGGTTAGGTACTCGTTAAGTGGCTATTATAGATTATATAGCGGCTCCTAATATTCTTCACACAAAAACGTCGTGTACAAAGTATGAAATGGTTTTGTGTCGAATATTTTGGCTACTGGACACTATCCTGGAACATTCACACAAGCCACTTTCACCGGGTACATTTTTTCAGTACTGACTCAAAAGAACTCGTGTCGTCACTAGTCATGCTTATTCCTCCCTCGTTCCTCACTATTATCCACATTATCCTTACAGTGTTCCCTACCACACTTTCCTGTCACAAAAATCACCTGACGAATTATTAAACATGCGTACTCGCGAGTTCAACGTCTGACGCCTGGAGCCGTTTTCAGTTCGCGGCATATCGGCTCATTCCTCACCACTCGGTATCTTGTAGATTACGGAATGGGACGAGTGTGCCAAATGGCATCAGGATCATTCGTAAGTGTCCGTAGACTAAAGTCACAAGACACCATGCCTACCCCTAACATTCGTAAGTGTCCGTCACCTATTCAACCCTTTTCGTTCAGTTCCGTAACGTCATAGGCATGACTAGGTAAATTTGCACTTTGTTTCACAGTGTGGACGTAGCTCAGTCGGTTAGCTGTCAGGCTAACAATCTGAAGGTCGCGGGTTCGCGTCCGACGGATTCTCACAAAAACTGGTTGCTTGTCTTGAGACATGTGACCTATGGCAGAGATTGTCCTCACGAGAAGTTGTGGTACTGTATTCTAAACATGCTAAAGGTGCTCCCAAATTTGAATAAATATTATATGTTTCTATAATCATGATAATTCTAAAATCAGGCACAAAACAGTAATCGGAAGATAAGTTGAGACATAGCCCTATTACTGTGTATTATATACCACAAGATTTGGAGTGAAACGCGCCAGTAATAGGCTATAAATATCGCACACCATTCCTCCACAAGTAGTAGTACTGCCAACATTTTTTTACACAAGTCAAATGTAATCATGGTAATGTTCCAGCAGTAAGAACATTTATCTGCATGACCGTATGTTTAGTATCCCAAGGTAGTAATGTTCATCATAATCAACTTACATGGCACGCGAAAAGTGAGGCAAGGAACTACACACGGTAAATGACAGCGTTAATGTCCTTCAAGATGCACGAAAACTGTGACATATCATAACTTTGATGAGGGTTATAGTAACTTATATCAATAAGACTTGACATACCTTGTTCCGAATCGTTTATTCCTCTCTTTCTATGACTAATGCTTGGGGAACTTGAAATACTTCTTGCATAGCATGTGCAAGAGATACCATTAGTGAGTTTCATTGCATACAAGCGTTGCATGGCACATCGCAAAGTGCTTGATTCCATGAAGGCAGCCATATTGAATTTGAGAAACTATTTACCTAACGACTATTCCAAGCGACGGAGGCGTCAATTGTAACATCCGAAAGGAACACATTTGTACCCTTCTGAATCTACAGGCGACATTCAAAGTGCGTTTTACTGAGATCCAATCAGTAATTAAAATTTAATTAAAAAATAAAATAATTATATTTGCAATAATAAATAACTTGCGTCTGATGCTGCTCGGATGTCAACAGTTGTTGTTTGTTGTGTGAGTAACGGGACATCAACGGGTTCACCATACGTAACAGGCTAACAGCGTGACTTGTATGCTCGTTGCGTCAGTCCTCTATTGGCCCAAGTCTTGTTCTTTCTTTCTATATGAACATGTATGTCTTGTCATATAACCGCATGTCCTTTCAACTTTGACACACTAAAACCTGGGCAGACGACAAGTAATGATATATCATGTCAACATCTATATACTGATGGAAACGAATAAGTGAACAATGAAAAATATAGGGAAATAAGCTTTAATTTTTTTAACCCATAAAACATTTTTTTTGCAGGACACCTAGACCAACAACTAGTCTCTGAAATGAACTCTTTTTACAGAAAAAACAGTTGTTAAATTGTATTCATAAAATATAATAAAAAGGAGACCAGAGACTTTCTTTATTTTCAGATACTGCTAGACTTGCCAAACATTATAGACTTGCATGGGCTGTATTGGATATATTTGTTTCAGGGTCTGTATGACAGACTACAGAACACCAACCATGTCCAGTGAAGGAGTTATGTTTTTGTAATGCTTGAGGATCAATTATTTTCAAACACTTTCGGTAACTGATTATATATTTCAAAAGTCTCCCAGCATCTGAAACTGAAGAAATCTAGACTTGCTAAAGTATTGTTAACCTGCTTGGGATATTTCGGATGTTTAGCTTTCAGGGTGTGTATGAGATACAACCATGTCTAAGCAGTCTGGTGTAGACTTGTATTTAGTACCGTGAATAAAAATGAGGCATGATCTCTGTTCTCTGTGTGATGAATAATACTGACAATTACTAGCAATTAATTATAAGTAATACTTACATTAACACTTGGATTGATATTCAGAATAACACCTGAGTGCGACGGGGCCGTCCATACTCCAGATGAAGACAGAGCGGTGATTTTAGTAGGAGACAGACTATCCAGCCAGTCAGTGCTTCAAACAGACACTTTTGTCTCTGAAAGGAGGGGACAAAACGATTTGTTTTATCCACACCACATCATTTACCATAACATTCAGCTTATTGTTTTGCATTTAAACATGAGTACAAATATTTTCAAACAACATTTCCGGGAACATATTTATTCATATTAAAATCTCCTAAACAGAGATAGATAGATATTCTTTATTTCCTCCAATTGAATGAAGACTACAATATACAGGGATAATTAAGTTACACGCTTAACATGGATTGGGGTATTTTTTGCATTAATGATTACTTCTGCCCACACATCTCTTTCTAGTTCCATAATACATTCTACTGGACATCCACCAAGTCAGATCTTAACAAACATATTTTCATCCAGAATATCACATATGGTGTTAAATAGTAAATTGATCGTACAAAACATAAACACGTGCTTTGCAATATCATTGGCAACAGTTTTACAATAACATTCTCCCGAAACAATTTCAGCTGGTCTATAGTATACAAGTCTTGCAATATTAGTTAACTTGCCATACTTCTCCACGATTAGTTTCCAGAGATAGTTTTCATTACTTGATCTAACACTAACATATCTTGACCAACTTGGGGGGACAGTTCCACAAATATCATCCCATCTTTGGTTTCCTTGTCATCCAAATACTCCACCAGCAGAATAGCTTAAGAGCGCGTTTATACGACTGTGAATGTATGGTTCAATACCTTGCCATGACTATAGCAAACCCAAGTGTGACCTCTCAATCCACGCTATCGGTGCGTGACGGTGTTTTAATCAACCCCGACAAATATCGCCATCGTCATGCATGGATGAGTCGTCTCGATATCTCACCGAAGCGTGTCCGCTTGGCTGTAACAGATTAGCGTAGCGTAAACACACAATACGCTTATTTCCCACTTAACGATGTGATCGGTGGTAATTTCAAATTAGCACTGTGTAAACATAAATCTGGTTCTCCAATCAAGCGTGTCTATATGTACCGTGACGGTGCATGCGTTCTGTTGTCGGCGGTGCGGGGGACAAGAGAGGTGCTGGGACAGACAGAACACCCACTCAGGAGGACACCCACTCAGCATCCCCTACAGCAGGGAGAGGGAAGAACTTGTCGTGCCTATGCTGTCGTCTCTCTTCTAGACACCAGAGCATATAAATACTAAACGCTCGAGGATTGCTTTGGAGAATTATTTGTATCTAACCCTATACATGATTCTATTTCGGAAGTATATTTTAGTCTATGTTGCAGCTTGCATTACGAACCGAGGAGGAGACGAAGTGTGATGTTGTTTTCGGTCACTGCATCAAACCACACATATTTTTTTTAAAGGGACGAATTTAAAAACAACAACACTTACGACACAAATTCCTTCTCAACAAATATGTTGTACGTATGTGCAAAACCTGAGACAAAATATTTTATTACACTATCTTCCTGAACAATTTAAAAAACAAAAAAACAAAACAAACTTTCAGCATAATCAAATATCAAAGGATCGTTTCTTATTTGACTTTTTTCTGTAAGTTTCTACAAGAGTAAAATCACCTCACGAGATCTTTTCTATAATGAAGGATGTCCTTATGTTTTTCAATATTACTTAACCCCGTGATGATACCGGAATCAAATTGGTCGGTGACTTGTTTGATTGCATGGATCACTACTTAAACTATCAATCACTGGATTGTCTGCTTCAGACTCGATTATTTCCAGGCTGCCGTCATATGGTTGGAATATTACCATGTGCGGCGTTAAACAAGAATACCAACAGTAAGAGCAGTTAATCTTTTGTTGATGAAGCACACGAATAATATATTTTTTTAATACTAAAACGGCGCAAGATAGTTTGTGGTTTGTGGTAAATGTAAACTTTGTATTAAATTTGCTATTCAAACAACACATAAAACATTTATTGCTCAACTTAAGAGTAATCTCTCATCGAATCTATTGCAAATAACATAGATTTGCAACAGTATGTCAATTGTAAAAACCATTCATGATTATCAAGAACATTTAGAAGCTGTGTCAGTAGTACAGAAAGTATGATTCGTAGTAATTATTAGTTCCAGTCACCGCCACCAGGCTGACAGCCTCGTTCTAAATTCGGTCAGCACGAATAGAATTCTCTACGCATCGATGTGCGCAAGAGGCTTACTTCCGGTTGTCGCTTACGGCCTGACATGCGCACATCGTTATTTGTTACTTCAGCGGGCACCTGCAGTTACTCCCCTTAGAAAACGGAAAGTGGATTTACGTTGATTTACTTTCTGAGATTGGGTTATTCAGGTCATTCCCTTCTAGGGATGAACTATCATGGCGGAGGAGAAACAAGTTAATGCCATGTTTCGTAGGCATGAGCAATTAAAGCGGTGGGAGGATTCTGAGACAAACAGGGAGCCAGGTTCACCTAAATTAAAACCTAGAAAAGTTCAATTTCAAGATGGATGTATATTTCTGGCAGCCTGTTCGAGTGGGGATCGAGAAGAAGTCACTAGACTTCTGGACAGGGGGGCCGACATCAACACTGCGAATGTCGACGGTCTGACAGCCCTCCATCAGGTAAAAATAGACTGAAATCGTCTAAATTATGCTCTATACCCACGCCACAAACTGGTATCAGACTTATGGTTGTATTAGCAGAATGGTATCGCGTGAAGATCAACACGATCACAACTTGTTTTGCTACAATTTGGTGAATACTCTCCAGTTGTTGACAGTCGGTCGTTTCCGATTTTGGTTGTAAACTCTCCTAAATGTACTGGTATGTTTGTAACACAGATACTGGCTGCTGACAGGGTCTTATAAATACGACCTTACATGAGAAGTTCTACATGTTTTGCATCAGTTCAACACGAAAAGTTAAGGAATTTCACTATGAAGTGCGAGAGATGCTCCATGACATGCCAGGAAATGACATACATTTAAACACAGTCCTGGTGTTGCACTGATGAATTTGTTTACATAGTTTTGACAAGGATATGACACAATGTGTGATTATCCAAGTTTGCATAAACAATGAGGACAGAATATATCAGGACATATCACAGTGGGATAGAAAATGTGGAATTTTGTTTGCGAGCAGTAAATTTCGAGCTAATGAAAATATGACATAATATATTTGTAATTGATGCATCTACTATTTTAGACTTAGTGTCACATTTTTATCATAACATTGAACAGAATTGTTTGAAGAAAAATATCCACTTATATGTACCATACTAATTTGCATTACCATATTCGCTGTATTCAGTGCCCTGCTCCTATAAGCTCCCCCAACCCACTTTTCAACCAATCTGTAATTAATCTTTATATGCGCCCCCTACACTACCGAAGAATTTACATACTTTCATTGGTATTCCAACTAAGTTTTGTCACTATAGCTCTATCTCTAAAAACAAACTTCATCTGGTTTTGAAAAATATTGTGAATGTGAATTGTGAAATATATAACTTCAAAATACTGTTATTTGACACTTCTCTGCAGTGATATTGTGAGTCCTTTCGGTAGACACAAAACTTTGCTCACTTTTATTATTCTGCATCCCCAAACATGCTTAATCTATCTTAAATTTGATCTGGAAGACTCTGGCAGACACAATACAAGTTTATTAAGCACTTTTTGCGATTCAACCAGATTTGCTTGCTAAGTACTTGTTTTCAGAATAATGTTCAGGACAGTAGTAGGGGTGAACTGATACATTGGTGCACTGGTGCATTGTTTTCAGAGTTTTCATGCGACAGCACCTTTTTTCTGCATCGATACGCTTGCTAGAATAAATTACTTACTTCCCATTTAAATGACCCCCCACCAAAGCGTCTTTGTCAGTTAGATATTGCAAAATGTGTTGTAATCAGTTTTTCTAGTTCGGCATGTTCACTACAAACAATAGCCGCTACAACCATTTGTGTACAGCTAGCTTTAGCTTTGAAACCTGCTCTGAAATATTTATGGTCAAGACGTTTCCACGTGATTTGACGTAAATATGAGTATCACAATACATATTGTTTCATGACCTACTGTAAATATCGCGGACTATATCAGACTAATAATGTCAGACTGATTTGAATTTGTTTTTCCTTCAAACAGATAAGGACTGACAATATTCTGTCTCTCGGTCACTGAACCATATTATTTTCCCTTCTGCCCAGACCTTACTGTACATGCTGTAATGCTGTAGCTCTAAATGAAGCAAGTCTTGATTTTCAGCAGGTTCTCTCTGGGGCTCCTTTTCATTTTCAATTGAGTTGTTTGTTTCTGTCAAATATATATGTTTTCAGAGAGACTTTAAGTGTTAGTCCATATGAAACCATTACCAATGTGTTTACTTATTCAGTTATTACCATTAATTAAAGCAATATTTTGTTGAAAAGAAGGATGTCATCATTGTTATCCTCATGTTTAAATGCGAAGATTATGGTTCCGAGATATGATACCAGACATTATGTTATATCCCTATATCTCAAGAGTTTGAGGCCTCAGTGTTTGTGTGCACTCATCGAACTTATTAACCAACATGATTTTTCACAATTCTATGTACATGGTATGTTGCAGTCTGTCATACAGGCCCTGAAACAAATATATCCATGCAAGTCGATAATATTTGGCAAGTCTAGATTGCTGCAGTATCAGAAAATGAAGGAGGTCTCTTGGCACCTTTTGATTATATTTTATTACTGTTTTTTTTGTGTGTAAAATATGTATCTTTCAGCATGTTCAGAGACTAGATGTTAGTCTGGGTGTGTTGTTGTGAGGTAGTTGATGGGGGTCCATCAGTGATCTAAGGCATCAGGGGAGTAGTATATTTCATGACAAGGAGTTATTTGGAAAGCAAGATATTTTTTTTTTCATGTTCAGTCATCATGGTCATGTCAGAAATGAATTTCTGTGTCCAAGTTGGAAGTGATGCCGATTGTTTCAGGGGGCTAGTAAACAAATATCTAAGGATCCGGGGCAGAATAGGTCTTCAGGAACCTATGCTTGCCCTAAAAGGCAACTATGCTTGTCGTAAGAGGCAACTAACGGGATCGGGTGGTCAGACTTTGTTGAAGAGTGTCATCTATCCCAATTGCGTGGATCGATGCTCATGATATCAACCACTGGATTGTCTGGTCCAGACTTGGTTATTTACAGACCGCTGTCATATAGCTGGAATATTGCTGAGTGCGGCGTTAAACAACAAACAATCAAAAACAAATAACTAAATAAACATTTCAGGTGATTGGATCCCTGGTTCAATAGTTGTCTTGATAGGGAACAGTGCTGGCAGTGGTGTAGATGTAATATTGCTGCTGAGTGTGGCTAGTGCTGAAAGGAAAGACCCTCTCTCAGCTGTGGCTGGCTGATTTGGTGTGTCACTGTACTCTGGACATGCTGGTGGTGAGGATAGATTATTAGGCTTGTTGAGGTAATGTCTTGTTTCTTGTCCACCCCTTAATTAGACTCTGGTCCAACTGTTGTTTTTCTTTTTAACACTGCTATTGTTAAGAAATGACGTTTTCAACTTATGACTTTGTTTTTACTGTTTTGCACACCCAGTGCCATTGATAGTGTGAGGTATGCACTGGAACATAGCCATGGTCACATGAGCTTATCTCCTCATACTTCAAGCACTCTGGGGTGTGGCCAAATGAGGTCACCTGGTACGTTTGAAACAAGTATACTTGTTTGGATTTGTAACCTATTTAACAAATGAAAACTAACCCCCCGACCTCCAAACCCAGTATTTATTTTTGTGAATAGTCAAGAGAAACAACAATATTTGTTTAACTAGGAGGAGACAACATGACAAGTGTTCTTAATTGGAGATTTTGTTCCCATTTAATTTGACTAATTGCTTTGATTGAACATGTGCCCGTGGGGGTTCCGGTTTGGAGTTGGCCCCCAGAAACCTGTCCTGGTTGTAAGAGGCGATCAATTGGTGGTCAAATTCCGTGACTAGGTTATTCTCATACCCTGATGGTGTAGATCATTGTTCACAATGTTAATCACTGGGTTGTCCTGTCCAGACTTGGATTATTATACAGGTCGCTGTTATGTAGCTGGAATATTGCTGAGTGCCATGTTAAAATAGCAGTCAATCAATCAGTTAAAAATAGGGTAGATTGCTTTAAGATTGACCAAGGCATGAAAGTTATTGTTAGTTTTAATTCATTTAAGTTTTCATTCTTATGAAGCTGAATTTACAACATGTTAACCGTCTAGATGGGATTAACATAGAACATGGACAGAGGCTGAACTGGAACTTTACAAAATTATAATTTGGGGAATGATTCCATCTGTCTGTAAAGCAAAGTAGGCATTGATGCCAATACAAGGTAAAGGTAACATGTTTTGACCCGCAGAAGTTTCAAATTAAGAAAAACTGAATTTTTGCAGTTTCAACACTTTTATGGTGATCATTATCAGTATTGTTTATGGTTTAAGATCACATTGACCTAATTTACATTCTTGACATGTGAAAGATATACTTTCATGTTTCTAAATTAAAGTCAGACAAATGGATTGTGAATTTGTATGGTTTTGGTGTGGGCAATAACTGACATTATCCAACCATGCCAACAGGAATTAGCATCACATTGATCTGACCAATACATAGACAGGATATTACTAAGCATGCAAGGAAACCTCAAAATTGTAAGAACTCAGTGTTTAGCTTTGTAAGAACTCAACATGCTCAATAATGCAGATTCCCTCACATGCCATCCTTGAATGGTGCCAGGTTGTTGAATGGGGATAGTTTCATGTGATGCTAATGCCTGATCTAACCATGCTAACAGTTTGTCTAATGATGCAAGGGATGACTCAGAACTCTGTTGTGATGAGATGACATGTTGCTGATCTCAGCTGATCGCCAGGGGTTTTGGAAATGATTCTGTGCTGTTGTTGGGGCATATGCTTAAAAATCCAATGCATTTTGATTTTCCTGACTAGTTCGGTTTTCTAGCGCACATTTGGTCATTTCACCTGCCCGGAATTACTCCACTATCACTTCATATCAAGTAAAACGAGTTTGAAACTGTTGCCTGTATTGACTGACATCATGGAGCAGTAGTGAACACTATCATGATCATCAAACATGTCCGTTAAGGGAAGAAATGTTGTTCCATGCTTAGGGATTGATAAAATCAATTGATGGCTTTGAGTTTTAAATTGGTATCATTTCCCCCTATGAAAATCAGATTTCGTTAATGATGACTTAAAAAACCCCAGCTGCATCAAGTAAAGGTTTATGATGGATGAATTGCCATGGATGTGGGGTGTTGAGGGAGAACTGTATTATCAATTAGACTTTATTCAGGTGAACTTGATAACCCAACTGCAGTTATGGGCACAATGTGGGAGCAGTAGATTCAACAGCAGCAGTACAACAGGACGTGGTTTATGACTGTGTGATCTAGCTTTTATTATTTGGTTCGAAGTGTAATTATACATCATGGCTGGTATATACATGAGCAATTATGAGAATTGATAGGGTGATTAAATGTGTTGTTTCACTATGTTATGGGGTTAATTTGTGTAGTTTTCTTGGAATCGTGTATCACAGCACTTGCTCACAGAAT